AAATGACATGTGAGCTTAAAAACTGGCAGCCAGTGAAAAACAGACTAAGATACATGTACAGCGAGCGAAGCGACTCAGCTACGCGTTATAAAGGTGAGAGGCCTCGTACTAGCGTAGATGTAAAACAGGTAAAAAGGTGTATGTGTTGCGAGCAGAAGCGAGCCGACTTTTCACTCTATAAATAAGCAAATTTACACAGTATACACAGTAGTTTTTCTTGGATTTCAGGGGGTCATGACCTATGACCCCTGTGACCGCGCCTGTAGACCGGCTTGTATAAATTGTGTTCAATTGATTGGCTCGAATGTTGAGATCGGCTATCAGGTATTATAGTACATAGCCCCCATAGAAAAAGTTGTTTCGAGTTCATAATCTGATCATACTTGCAAAGAAAAGTTGTTCCGAGTTCATAATCTGATCATACCTGCAAAGAAAAGTTGTTCCGAGTTCATAATCTGATCATACCTGCAAAGAAAAGTTGTTCCGAGTTCATAATCTGATCATGCCTGCTAAGAAAAAGTTGTTCCGAGTTTTTATTTTATAATCTGATCATGCCTGCAAAGTTTCCGGTTTACCGTTCCTTACACCCGGTATAAGTATTAAACCGAAGCAGAAGATATCTAAATAATAAGTTGCTTTTCTTGCATAAGAACCTTTCCAAACTATCTATTACATAAAATACGGGGTGTAAGGGACAGCTCTCCGAATATCCGTAGACCATGAAACTGAACAACCTTTCCCTAGAAATGTAGTGTCAAGAGACGACAATAAAATAAGGCTTTCTAGTAAAGTACGAAACCCTAAAAATCGACCTCCCATACAAAATCACGATCAGCTGACTCCATTTACATTTTTTTTTTCGTTTGCTGCGAAATTGTTCAATTTCATGTCTGATTTCAACCTTTACATACAACGTGTTACAAACCAACCCATAAAAACCCCCCATACAAATGGAGTTCATTCTTTAGGGGAGGTCCAAATTTTATTTCATATTTCGACCTATGTTCCATAGGGAAAGTTGTTCAGTTTTACGACTACCTTGACCTCCTTTCAGTTTTATTGGTTGTTTTGTAACACCCAGTATAATAGAAATCTTGAAGTGTAAGATTATGTTAAATGAATTTATACCAAATTTACTTACGCCATTTTAGTCGGTTAGTTATTGTTTGATATAAGTTTGGGTATGTGTTCTTGGAGACGGGTTTAGCGTCGAATTTCAATTTTCAAATTCGTAATACAGGGGATGTTAAATTAAATGCGTGTTAAGGCTAAACGTCAGACTCGTGGCCCCCCAAAAAAGCAAAAGTCCCTGACTGAACACGCTGGTCATCTGGACAACAACTGACCACAAGGAATAAATAGATAAAAATTGGTATCCATGAGTTATGTATACTTTGCAATTTCGGCAACATAACTTTAGTGCAGTTTTCCCAATGTTTCTGATTCATAAAAATCTTCGTTGTTAGTTATTGTCGTTAATTCATTGTGTGATATGATATCCCAATCACTTGCGTATTCAGTGAGTTTCACTTTTATTTCACTGAGTGGCGCTATTGTCGCTTACGTTGAACTACCCTTTTGCATTTAAATTAACACCCTGTATGTGTAGTTGCCTTTCAAAATGTTGTAATTATGGCATTTTTTCGAATATTGATCTTCGATTCTCAACCTATCCTAGGGAATAAGTATGTACCTAACTCCAGTTATTACATTTTCTTATGAGGCCTCCGTTGTTGGTCAATTAACAGAGTTTTAATTTTGTTTATAAATAAAAGTACTGTATGTTGTAAAATACTGTCTTCATTTATTTTAACACTGGTCGCAATTCAGGAAATAAAATATCTAAACTTACCTAAAATAAGCGCTGTCTTTTTCTCCCAATAGGTTTAGAAAAGGACTAAGGACAAAGTCTTATAATTTGACGCAAAATAATGTGCGTTTTCTGTCCAAATAAGGCGATGGTGAAAACAATGATGACTAACTACATTGACTAGAAATTGCGAAAAACCATAGACATAAATAAACGTGACATTTACTAAGATAGGGACAAATTTAATTAAATACAAATGTTATAAAGAGCATGTTCTACACACAAAATTGGACAACTTTAATTTGATAATTTACTTTGAACTTCGAAATATGAAAAATAATCGTATCTCCTATACAAAGTGACTCATATTTTCAACATGTTTGTATGTGAGGTAGGTAAGTAAGTACATGGAAGTTTGAACTTGAAAATTATTCATGGCCTACACGAGAGAAGACGTCTCCAATTTAATGTATTTAACATGCAAGACTTCATCAAGTTTTTATCAGTCTCGTTTTTTTACAGACGTAAGTCCATTTTACTTTTATATAAGAAACGTCCATCTTTATTTCAGAATTGCCAGCAAGTTAAATAAATACATTTGGTATTCGCGTTTTATGTGTAGTATCTAGACATAAAATATTCAACTAGCTAACCTAAGTGTTTATTGATTTACAGTTTATTATTATTTTCATCTGATAACCTTTGTAGATCGATTGCAATTGTTTTAATTCCTGTTTCTTACTTTCTATACTTTGTTTTTCGGCTATTCTTGTTGATTCACATCAGTAAACAAATATTGTGAAGTTGAAAACCTTTTCTAAACTTTCTAATTGCTTTCTAATTTACTTATTTTAGATTTAATTTGTCGCTTGCAGTTTTTAGTGCAGTTTGTACATCGCTGCCTAATATTTCTACACAAATCTCTGAATTAGGATTCAAGTGGCTTAGATATACTTTTTGTCATCAGTATTTTCAAACTCAAGAACAACTTCGTGCTAAATTCAACAAAACTGCCATGTTGCTCTTTAAATCCGTTTTTAGATCGTCATCGTTTGTTTTTAGTAATACAGCCGGTCGCATTTGCTCGACATTCCACACAGGCCTTTTAGTTCTCTGACAATTCGTGCAGTTTCAAAAAGTTTTCCACTCGTGCTTCGTCAGGATTGCGCCAAACTTCAAAATCTTCACGTTGTGGAAAATCTAAGCATTTCTTTGTCATCATAGTTGATAATGATATTGTTTTCAAATTGCGGTATTGTAGGTATTACTGCTTCCTCCAAGTAAACCATGAAAGGGCTTAGACATCTCAAAGATGTATTCAGAACTGCAGTAGAGTGTAGCGTGGCAGTATCAACTTTGATATTGTTATTATCCTTAAAACCAGGTTTCGTGGCTTCATACGTATCACAAATTCGTTATAAATATGGCTTCTAATACATTTTGTTGCTAGGTGGAAATCATAATTGTCTAAATATTTATTTACTTTTTCCACCATATCAGCTAATCTGCTCAGAATCCATCGATCGAACAACGTCAAATTGCTTTGTGAGATATCATCAATGCAAAGGGGTAGTTTGGAACAAACTCCTTGCGTATATTTGACGCTCTGCCATATTTTATTGCAGAACAGTTTGTTCGCATGGCACATACTGACGTCAAAGTTGACGAAATGCGATTTGACATCATACGATAGAAGCGTAAATCTCAAAGCATCGACGCCGCACTCCGGGATTCCGGCCGTGTTGGAAAAGTTTGACTTATGATAAGCCAACGCCCTCTTCAGTTCCTCCTTACTCAAGGCTCCTGTTTTGTGCATATTTGGATTTTCTCTAAGATCCTCCATGAAATTCCTTTTATCACATCAATGGGTCTATTACATTCCCCTACTTTTGGACATCTTTGCGCCTTTATTGTCACATGATTCCGTGCAAAGGATGTTATCGACAATCAGTCAGTCAGTTCCAATCCGGCATAACCATCCTGTGGACCCACAACCGAGGATATCGTGGCCAGTAGCCAGAACTCAATGGGTAGAACTTTTGAAGTCGATTGTATTCTTCGGCCATCTAAAGTGAATGGATAAATACCGGATGAAAACCACGTGTCTAAAACATCTGGGTCCCTTTCGACAGTTACCTCTTCAGGGCTAACTGATAATACTCTAGCTGCTTCCTCTCTCGCTGCTTTTTCTGTATATTCAGATACCCACAGAACGCGATCATGGTAAGAACATTTATAGGCCGGTATTTGGTGTCCCCACCACAGCTGTCTTGAAATGCACCAGTCTCTGTCGTCATCGGTCCAGTTGTACCAGTTTTGCTTAAATTTCTCTGGCAGTATTTTTAACTGCCCCTTTTCGACGGCCTCTCTCGCTTTTGAATTCATGGATTTACATGAAATAAACCATTGCTCTTTTGGTAAATATTCTATCACGTCACCAGTTCTACCGCAAACAGGTAACGTCATTTTTGTAGTTTTATCCGCATTAAACCTAGGTCCGTTAGACTTTCGATTATTTTACTTCTGCATTGGTATCTGTCCATGTTTGTGAATTGTCCTGCGTCGATCATAGTCCCTGTTTCGTCGATAACTTGATGCCTCTCCAGGTTGTGTCTGGTGGCTACATCGTAGTCGACTTTGCTGTGGGCTGGAGTAATTTTAACGGCGCCAGTACCGAAATTCATATCGACAAAATCGTCGAAAATAATTGGGATTGTTTCATTTTTGAACGGGTGGTCTAATCTTTTGCCGGCGAGATGTGCATATCTGAAAACAATTTACGTTATGATTATTTTCGAAAAGATATTGAATGTAGGAACTTGAGTTATGAGATAAAGCTGTTATGTATCAGAAGAGGAATAACGAAAGAAACAAAAGAAAAAAGAGAGTGAAAGATTTGCTTCCTTTCTTGACTAGTTTATTATTAGTTTTTAATAGCTCTTGACGTAAGAGGAAGCAAAAGCGCACCTACAGTAATTTTTGTATTTTGAGAATTTTGGACTTGGAAACAGGACTTGTATATTTTGAGAATGGGAAAGCGAAATCTTCATCTACAGATGCGATATAGAACCGATATTGGTGTTTGGTTAGTTGTGCCGGTAAGAATATTTGTCACAAATTTACAGCTCCAAGACGGTACTATGAATTAATCTACCTGGTAAATAAAAATATGAAATTGAAAAAATCGTCATGCATCGGTCGGCGCTTGAACTCGGGCCGCATGAGTCTACTCCTCATCGCTCTGCCACTGAGCTATCGATGCACCAATCGATGCTTGCCAAATTTCAATCTCTTGATACTTGCCTCCAAGCGACGATCTAGCTGAAATCTGGTAGAAAGTACTGTAATTAAACTGTAATTTTTTCAATTTCATATTTTCATTTAGGGCAATAATATAGCACTGTGAGTTGAGTGCATTAAGGCCAGGATTCGAGGGAAAGCGCAGAAAAGCGTTGCGTTCGATTCAATTTTTAAGCCCTTTACTGTGGTTACTGTGACCTCAAAAAAATGTACAACGCACCCAAAGAAATGCTCTACAGCTATTAGTATTTATTTTCTAGGTTTGATTGATATTTTTTGTATAAAAAAAATTACAACAACAGCAAAAAAAATTTTTTTGTTTCAATTTTTATGTAACACTACTACTATTTTCCTTAAGTTTTTTATAGTACAAGATTCCTCATTTAATTCCCGAGCGCTATTACTAAAGGGTTTTAGCTGATTTACTAACTTTAATTCAACAAACCAAATTTTATTCAAAAAGTCGGACGGTCTTCCCGGTGAAACCAGCCTCCCGCTACCCGCATCTCACCCCCCCTCAACCCTAATCTTGAAATCGTATTTTTCTGCGTGGATCCTCGCCTTAAAATACCAATAAATTTATCTACCTGGGATCATCTGGATGCACTGCAACCGCGGTATCACCAAGCATTGTTTCAGGGTTCGTAGTTGACACCACTATTTCTTCTTTACAATCGGTGCCAAATATTTTGTACGCGAAATTGTAAATCTGTCCGAACTTTACTGGTTTCACATAGCCCGGCAGTTTAACGTCCGTCGGGCCATCGATTTCTATGTTTTCTACCTCCCTGTCTGAGACGGTCGAGTTGAGAGCTCGACACCAGTTAACCATTGCCTCTTTTCTATAAATTAATCCTTTTGTAAAAAGTTTTTTGAAGGCTGTGTTTACAGCTTTGCTCCGTTCTTCGTCCATAGTGAATATCTCTCGAGACCAGTCTAGCGAGCAGCCTAGAGTACGCAGTTGTTGGGTGATGGTGTCGCCATATATTTTTTTCCATTGCCATACAGCGTCGTTGAACTTTTCACGACCGAGACAATCTTTGCTTATTTGCTTAGTGCTTCTCAGATGTTTCTCAACAACACTCTGTAACAATGAAATATATTTTTGAATGTTTTTTGCTTGGAGTAATAGTAAGATCACGTGCACACAGTCGACTTTGTTGCAAAGGGACTTCCGATAAGTCACCGGCCGGGCCATAGTCGCCACAGTGTGCACGCCTGGTTTGTTTTTTAGTTTGACTTAGATAATATCCTAGTTGTTTTTTAGTTTGACCGCGTGAGCCGTTGATCGCTCATGCTCGAACGAATGCGCACGCGAATAGGCGCGTCCACACTGCCCGTGGCTACTCGTCTGCTCACTGCCTCGCGCGGCGTAAGCTCGTGCGCAGGCGAGCCAAATTCGCCCCTATTTGGACGCCTAAATAAACTAATAGGCAAAAGTCTGGGCGCTTTGATTTTGGCTCGGCCCGCGCGCGTTCGCCCATATTGTCTCAGGTCAGGGCAGTCATAATATATGTGGGGGCAATGAAGGGGCCCTCTTGTATAAAAAACGTAGACAAAGAAAGTCGTATAGCGAGCGGAGCGAGCTCAATTTTTCACGCTAAAAAGCAACAAAAAGTAAAAAGAGTTGCGTGCGCGTATTTTAGAGATATTGTCAAGAGAGATTGTTGATCGTTCGGGGCCCCCCTGAAGAAGGGGCCCTGGGCAAGGGCCCCGCGTGCCCTTACGGGAAAGACTGTATTGCCTCAGGTGAGCCACAATTTTTTGGTCGTTTGCCTCGCGAGGCACTAAGAATCTGAGCAGCCTCGCTTGTTATGGACGCGCCTAATAAATACAAAAAACAAATTTTAAAATAAACTATTTTTAACTAGTATTTTAAATAATGTTTTAGGTGTTCCTTTATTGATACTGGACCTATCTTTAAGTACTTAAGGCATTATGGCACGCATTTAAATTATCACCCTGTATGATATCTCTGTTCAAAGAGAGAACAAGGGTTTTATTGGAGCCAAGACTTGACTGTGCTTCCTCTAAGCCGAAAGATAGTATAACCCGGTTCACAAAAGAAGGGGACCCGAAATGGCAACATTATTGTTTGCGTCTTTTTCATATTACATGACATTTAAGCAAGATGTCAACAATAATATTTGCCTGGGTCCCCTTCTTTAATAGTTTCCAACACCTATAGTTTAATTGTTTGATTCCGAAGCTGATCTTAGCGCAGTGGAAGCAAATTAAAGTTATCTTAAAATCTAAAACTAAATGGTCGATCAGCCTCGGAACAACATTTGACTACGATTCGTAGTGCTCTTTACTATAGCTAAATAAAATAAATTTAATGAGAAATTCTGTTCCGGAAAGTTTCCGGCCGAGAAATTCTTGTTTCCAAAATCTACTTAAACAGGGCCCAGCAACGAATTGCTTACCGAGCAAACGATGACGCCGTTTCTTTGTGAGTTTAAGTATGACAGGAATCAGGTATTCAGGATATTTTAGGAGCGCAGGAATAGGGTAACCTAAACTCACAGCACTGGAACATCCGCTCGTTCTAGAACTCCTTTCCTCCAATTTGCACTATAGTTCACAGTTCGACATCACATAATGTTTTTTCGGCGACCACGTTGGCCTCAATCAAAAGCCGAAACCAAAATTCACTTGGTTCACTTCCCACCACAGGAAGCCATGGCTTGTGGCAAATAGCACGAGAAAACCGCCAACACCTTAATTTTACACCACTAAAACTAAAATTCGCTTCAACAACGCTAGCGACGGCAGAGGACGACACGGACGAGCAGTGTTGCCAGCACCGCGCGCCCATTTTATACGAAAACTAAACATTCACCCGCCCGGACCGACCCATCGGTCCGCTCTATATGGCAGGCGTGATAATGTAGCTACTGCTCGCTTAAGGACTGAATCCCCACCTGAACTTCTGCAACTCGAGGAGTGCCATCACTACCCGGAAACAGGTTGAGAATGCGCCCCCGGCGCCAACGCAGTGGCGGTAGGTTGGCATCCTTAACCAGAACGAGATCCCCAATGCAGGGGGGTTCAGTCCTGTCCGTCCACTTAAGGCGTTGCTGCAGAATGTGCAAGTACTCAAGCGACCAACGCTTCCAAAAGTTTTGAGTCATTTGCTGCAACAACTGATAACGCGACAAACGATTGCTATTCACCTCCGTATAGGGATATTCCGGCAAGGCGTTAAGTGGGCGGCCAATTAAGAAATGCCCTGGCGTCAGGGCCTCTAAATCATTTGGGTCTGAGCTGAGCGGACACAAAGGACGCGAATTGAGTACAGCCTCAATTTTACAAAACACGGTCGCCAGCTCCTCGAAAGTCAAAATTGTTAACCCTACAACGCGCAACAAATGCGTCTTAGCGGACTTTACAACCGCTTCAAAAATACCACCCCAGTGAGGGCACGCTGGTGGATCGAACACCCAGGTAATGCCCTGACGGGAGGCCCGTGCTGATGGCTTCTTCGTTCTCCCTTAAGAACGTTACAATTTCCTTCATACACCGATCAGCACCCTTAAAGTTGGTACCACAATCCGACCTGATCAGCGCTGGTCGCCCTCGTCGCGACGTAAATCTCTCCAGCGCTGCCAAAAAGGCCTCCGTAGATAGGTCGGCCACGAGCTCCAAGTGGACGGCCTTGGTGGCTAGGCACACGAACACGCACAAGTACGCCTTGATAGACTTTGCGTTCCGTAGGCGTGATGCCTTTACCATGAAAGGGCCTGCAAAATCCGTTCCCACACCTGCAAACGTCCAGGCCTCCGTCACCCGGTCCGGTGGAAGATCTCCCATCTGTGGCTGCATTGTGGCTGCCTTCAAGCGGTAACAAGGCAAGCACCTAAACACAACGCTACGTACCGTTCGTCGTCCCGATAAGATCCAGAACTCGCGCTGTAGAATGGCCAATAGCGCATTACAGCCCGCGTGCGAGTTTTTCTCATGACGATCCCTGACTAAGAGCTCAACTAAGGGTCCCCTTTTGGAAGTAACAGTGGATGCCGAGCCGAAAAGGGCAGGCTAGCGTTCGAAGTCTGCCTCCAACCCTGAGCATACCTTGCTCATCCAGGAATGGGTTGAGGCGCACAATTCCTCCCTTCAGCTTTCCACGTCCATCCCTGAGCAGCCTGACCTCCTCTTCAAAATGTTCCGCCTGGACGACTCTAACCAATGAGCATAGAGCCGCATTCCGCTCCGCAGGCGAGAGGACAGGTGTAAAGTTCCGTTCTGCTTGAGGCTTCCTGCAGTTGTTCACGAACCGCTTGATCCAACCTGTCACCCCAAGAAGTTTGTCGAGGGAGCTATACCGTTCCAGCAAGAAAGCTGGGTTAGGCTTCGGTACGAGTTGCCCCGTTCACTCGCAAACCTCGATCAGGTGGCCCAAGCGGCGCCCTGCACTCGTTGAATGGCCATTCCTGCGGCGACTCAGTCAGCCATTGAGGTCCCCACCACAGTGGGTGACTCACCAAATCAGGTGCCCTGCACCCGCGCGAAGCGCAGTCCGCTGGGTTCCATTCTCCCGGTACGTGCCTCCACACTAACGGAGTTTCCGACCCCGTAATCTGTGACACCCGATTTGCCACGAAAACCTCAAGTGTATGTACCGACGTCTGCAACCAGCACAGAACTATCCGACTGTCAGTCCACGCGTACACCGTTTCATCCAAGTTGATGGTACCACGCAGATTGCAGGTTACATGATTTAGCAAGCGCGCTAGAAGAGCTGCCCCTGCCAATTCCAATTTGGGGATGGTCCATCTAGTTCTGACTGGTGCCACCTTACTTTTGGCCATAACCAGACGCACGTGCACAGTTCCGTTGAACTTGCTGTCCGAAGGTATACAGCTGCCGCGTACCCTCGCTCGAGGCGTCACAAAACCCATGTAGGGTAGCCTTACATCCCACCGATGGGACTAACTTGCGGGTATCGCGATGTGCACAATCCCTGGTAAGGTGGTCACAAACTTGAGCCAATCCTTCAACAACTCTCCGGAGAGTTGGTCGTCCCATCCTAAGTTGGCTAGCCACAACCTTTGTAAAAGCACTTCGCCATGAACGTAACCGGGGCGATCCATCCGCTAGGATCGAACGTCACACCGAGGATGCCCAACGTGTTTGGATTGTCCGGGTTCTCAAAGAGGTGCGGGTCCTGATGGAACTCGCCTGGCAAACCGGCCAGGAGCTCTGGGCAACTGGACAACCATTTCCGCAACTCGTAACCTCCTGAACCCATGATCGCGATCAACTCGTCTCGTAGAATTAGCGCCTGCTCCACGCTATCAGCACCCGTGCAGATATCGTCCACGTAGACGTCGCGATCCAGTACTGCTGCGGCTCGAGGATATCTTACCCTTTCCTGTGAGGCCAACTCTCAGCGTACGTACTGCCAAATACGGACTTGGCTTAAGTCCATACGTCACCGTGTTAAGTTCGTATGTGACCATCGGCTCATCTGGGCTCTCACGCCACAAAATCAGCTGATACCGACGGTCATCCGGATGTATCATGGTTTGGCGAAACATCATTTTGACGTCTGCGACGAACGCTACCTGGTGTAACCGAAAGTCTGTGAGAATGTCCACAATGTCCCGGTTCAATTTAGGACCCGCGTGCAAACATTGGTTCACAGACACACCATTCGAGTAGGAGCAGAACCGTCAAACACCACCCGTATTTTCGCCTCAGGTGACTTCAAGACAGCCAGGTGTGGAATGTAATAATGCTCGACACACCTCCAATCCAGGCTGGACACCGACATGTGGCCCAATTGAATATATTCCCGCATGAATTCTATATACTTCTGCCGAAGTGCTGGGTCTCGCCTCATCTTCCGCTCCATTCCGAGTAGTCTCCGTTCCGCGAGCTGTCGCGAACTACCTAAAGCGGGCGGTTTGGGAGAAAAGGTAGCCTGGTCACGAATCTGCCTGACGGGCATCTCGCAGTGTTGTATTGATAGAACAACTCGCACTCGTCATCCTCTGGCTTCCGTCTGTCCGCCGTGGGCGCTCTTCGAACTCCCAAAACCTCTGCAGCACCTCTGACAGCACACTACCATAGAGGACCGGATCCCCTTCTGGTAGGTCCTGAGGTCTCAAACTGGGCCGAAAACAACATACCCCTGTGGTATCTACGGCCACCAAACCAGTTTCCTGGAGTACCTTCTTCCTACCGCACCATAATCTCCGAGGACGTCTGACCCGAGTACGTCCACCGTACCAGGAGTATCAAAATCAGGATCAGCTAACTCCAACCCTGTGGTTAACCCTCGTACCGTTGGTGGTAACCTAACCTGAGGGAGTTTCCCAACCACTTCATCCAGCACCACGGCTGAGACTTGATAGCTGACCCCTGTACATGTGCTACCTAATGCGAACTCAAAGTTCGTCTGACCCCGAATGTCAGGCACATTTAGGCCCCCGATGCCTACAGCTTCATCCTCACTTGGCCGTACATTTAGGCCTAGCCTACTCACCAGCTTACTCGATACAATACATCCCTGAGCCCCTGTATCCAGTAGGGCTCTTACTTGAATGGTCCGGCCACCGTATCCCCATACCCAAATCTTAGCCGTTGGCAAAAGTACCGTGATTGGACGGGGCCGAAGCTGATGAGTAGGCGGCGATTAGCGGGAATCTAAACGCGGTGAGGCCGCGTCCCGCGGGGTATCCCTCACTACCCAAACCTGTGTATGGGTCCACTCCTGCTGGTAGGGAGGTCTGCCCATAAAGGCCATGGCTGGAGTTCTATAGTACCCCGACGGCAAACGTCCGTACCGAGGTTGCGCCTGTAGCCGCGGGTACTCAGGCATAGGCGGGGCATGCGTGGGTCTTGAGACCCAACCAGGTGGCTCAAGCCCGCAGAATACTGCATGTACCCTGGTGGCTGCCTAGTGCTCCCCTGACACCCGCCCGTTGAATCCCGTACCTGGGATGGGTGTCCTGGCCACGTTCCTGTGCCGCTCTTCCCCAATCCGGCACCTGCTGCCGTGGTGGGGATCGTCCCCACGTCCTTGGGTAAGTGGGCTCCGTCTGTTGACGTCCCCCTGCCTGTCCCTGTGACCGATGCGGAGGTGGGCTCCTCCTTGGAGGGGGTGGAGCGTTGCTCCCTCCTTGGTGGGCAGGCTCCTTCGCTGATCCGATCCAGCGCTGCCCCCGGCGCCTCCGGAGCGATTCATGCAGAGCAGCGGATGGTGTGCACCTGGCAGTACCTACAGTTGGTGCTTGAAGGGCACTCGCACCTGATGCGGCCCCAGGCACCGAAAACACCAACGCCTCTGCTGTGCCACACCCCGTCTCCTCTGAACCCGCTGCGCAGCAAACTCCTGACACGCTGCCACCCCGTGGCCTGTCTCCCTGCAGTAGGCACACCTGATTCCAATGCGGTGTTGTACCGCCTGGGTTGCCCACTGTTGCCTCCTCGCGCCGGTGCACCCGGCCGTTCCGGGTGGCGAGGGCAGAGGTCTCCTTGCGAGGGGCACCAGCCTGGACGTCCACTCGCCTGCTTTCGGCCTCGAGGAACGACTTCAGATCCTCGTAGGTCGGGAGGTGGTCGAGGACTTGCCCCATGTAGCTGCTCGAATCGAGCGACCATTTCGCTCGGCAGGCGGCGAAGCACTGTGTGGACCAAGATATAACCGTAGCCCGCCACTGGCAAACCCTGTCGCTCTAGTGCGCTGACCGCGACACTGACTGGGTGGAAGATTTTCTCGCGGAGGTCCGTACCTCGCGTTATGGTTGGTATTGACAGCCACTGGTCTAACAGCCTGTCTACAATCAGGCGCTTGTTTCGATACCGGTCGGTAAGGATCTTCCACGCCACCTCATAATTGCTATCCGAGACAGCCAAATGCGTCAGCAATTCGCAGGCTCTCCATGTAGCCTGGACATCAGCTGAGCCATCTTGTACGCCGGCGTTATGTCCGTCCGTGTGTGGACCACACTGCTATACAGGTCCTCAAACGCCGGCCAGTCGGCGTAATCGCCTGCAAAGACTGGAACCGTAACAGGCGGAAGAGGCACCTGTAATCCTTGTCCCACTTTACCACGGAATGGCTTTTCCTTTCCGTCACGTCGCCTAGATATGTCCGCAGCTGCCAATGTCCTGTGCCAGCTCAAGCACTGGCTTACATCGCCCTCAACCAGCTCCTTATCTTCAGGGTTAGGAGCTTCCTCAAGAGCATGAGGCACTCTGTGAGGTGTTCCGACACAACCCGAACCCGTTCATCTGCCTGTAGTGCACTTTTCAAAGCGCGTCCTCCCGGTCCTCGCGGCCGATCATTGCCGCTGTGGTAGTAAACCACCTTAATTCTGTCTTTATAGCAGCCTTATACCTGGCGATCGAGGGCCATGGTACCAACTTTTACACACTCGACTTAATAAAACGAAAACCAATAAACAAATACCACAAAATAAATGTTAGTTGACTGGCCTAGACCTTACCGATAAGGTACCGTTCACTAGGCAAACAATACAGTCACAAAAAACCGAAACAATATTTTCCAAAATTAATAAAATATGTGGGTAATATAAAAACACGCTTAATACTAAAGTACGGCTAACTATGTTGCAATAAAGCAACCACGCTCTGCTACCAAAAATGTTTGATTCCGAAGCTGATCTTAGCGCAGTGGAAGCAAATTAAAGTTATGTTAAAATCTAAAACTAAATGGTCGATCAGCCTCGGAACAACATTTGACTACGATTCGTAGTGCTCTTTACTATAGCTAAATAAAATAAATTTAATGAGAAATTTTGTTCCGGAAAGTTTCCGGCCGAGAAATTCTTGTTTCCAAAATCTACTTAAACAGGGCCCAGCAACGAATTGCTTACCGAGCAAACGATGACGCCGTTTCTTTGTGAGTTTAAGTATGACAGGAATCAGGTATTCAGGATATTTTAGGAGCGCAGGAATAGGAATAACCTAAACTCACAGCACTGGAACATCCGCTCGTTCTAGAACTCCTTTCCTCAATTTGCACTATAGTTCACAGTTCGACATCACATAATGTTTTTAACACAAAATAACTAAAGATTTCTCTCCGAATGAGAAATCGGCCCCGTTGGCCTCAATCATTTATAATTAAAATACGTAGCTATCAGCCACGACGCGAGCGACGACTCAAAGTGAGGTTATGTTACCGGCGACCACGTTGGCCTCAATCAAAAGCCGAAACCAAAATTCACTTGGTTCACTTCCCCACCGCACAGGAAGCCATGGCTTGTGGCAAATAGCACACAGAAAACCGCCAAAACACCTAATTTTACACCACTTAAAACTAAAATTCGCTTCAACAACGCTAGCGAGCGACGGCAGAGGACGTGACACTATGACAGAGCAGTGTTGCCAGCACCGCGCGCCCATTTTATACGAAAACTAAACATTAATAAAACAAACAATAACTACCTGCTGTGTGGTGCCATCTTAGAATAGCATCACCCCATTTCTTTCCCGTGGGTGTTGTAAGAAGCGACTAAGGGATTTAAGAGTTGATCTTATTGCAATTTTAGGCGACAGGTAGACAACCTGTCACTATGGTGAGACACAGTCTTCTGAATGGTTCTCAATTTTTTTTTTTTCATAATTGGCGTTAACAGCCTTTTCATGCTGTGCATCAGGACCCACCAGGCACCCGTAGCTCAGTTGGCAGAGCAGTGGGACGGTACCCCATGGTTCTGGGTTCAAATCCCAGTGGTTGCTTATAAATTTATAAATTGTCTTATTTATGAAAACAATATAGCACTGTGAGTGCATTAAAAATCCCAAAACATTGAAATATGTATGTTTGTATAACTACCTGCGTTGCAATACCAGCATGGTCCGTTCCTGGTACCCACAGCACATTATTACCCATAGACCTCTGTCGTCGCACAATTACATCCTGAATCGTACAACCTAATGCATGGCCTGCAAAAGAAAGTAAGTATTTAAAAACTCCTCAAATAAGTATAGTAATAAAGGTATATAGTTAGGGAATTCTGGAAAATCAATGTATGGCAGCTCTTAAAGCAATGAAATTATATGAAAGGAAAGTTTTTTGTGAAAACTTCACATTTTGCAAATAATACATTATGCTGCTAAAGGTATCAAACAACTGTTCCTTTATGAAAACTGGGTTTAACTGGGAAAGATAGGTATCTTATTCCAAAAAAATAAACTTTGGTAAGGTTGTTGTATACAGGCCACTCCTTCCATTGACATCAAAAAAGCGGGGCCGATTTTGGGGCTGCAGAGAAAAGTGTTTGAGGCAAACGATCCTTGAGAAACCCAGCATCTCCAGTGGAGAATGGTAGTTTGTAATGGGAATCCAGTGGTTAAAACTTATCTAAGTACCAAAAATACATTTTTCTGTGCAGCCCCACTCCATACACATTAACCTGTGCCTCAACCAAAGAATCTTTCATTCATGTGGGCCACAAACCAACCACTAGGCTGGCCTCTAGTACCCAGTAAAATAAAAACAAAAAACTAACCTAAATGTAATTTTCCTGTAACATTGGGCGGCGGAAGTACCATACTAAACGGAGTTTTTGTGCTGCTGAGGTCCGGCTGGAAGTATCCCTGGTTTTCCCATCTTTCATAAACTTCTTTTTCAACTAATTCTGGACTGTAAGCCGCTCCTGGTAATTGATCTTTTAGGTAAAGTTTAGTGGATGAACTATAGAACCTGCGGAGAATATACTGTGCGGCACGATACTGGATTCGCGACAACATTTTTTTGTTCATTTATTAGAAACTAATTCATGAAAATACTAACAAATTTTATTAAATTTTGGAAAGATCAGATGTGCTTGTTTTCCTTTTTTTTACCAAATGTCATAGCGTTTCGTTTTCACTTTTGCTCACTTTTGAGAAGCCTTTTCAGGACTTATTAAAAAGTAAAATTCAGTACTTAGTACACTGATCTATTAGTATTTAATGGATAGATGTCGCTGAATGAGTTGCACTGGTCTTTTTTGACGGCTGTGCCTCCGCTGCCGGAACCGGCACCCGGGACAGCTGCCGGAACCGGCACTCGAGACAGCCGGGACAGTTGCCGGAACCGGCACCCGGGACAGCTGCCGGTACCGGCATCCGGAACAGATACCGAAACCCGCCGTTGCCATATAAAGTTGGGACTTAGAACAAATTTCGACCTTTAGGTCTCCATGATTACAAGTGACTTGTTACTTTACAAGTTACTTGCATAGTTACAAGTTACATGCACAGTTACAAGTCACTTGCCTAATTACTAGTGACTTGCATGGTTACAAGTCACTCCTTTTGTTACAATACAAGACACTTGCATTTACATGTTACAACTAACTTGCATATTTAAGTTAAGTAACTTGTAACTATGCAGAGTGCGTCTCATGTATTGCAACCAAGCATAATTACAAATCCTTACATGCTACTTACAAGTCACTTGCATAGTTATAATTCACTTGCATAGTTTCAAGTCACTTGCATAATTACCAGTTACCTGCACAGTTATAAGTAGTCCTTGCATAGTTTCAATGACACTTGCATGAATTACAAGCCACTTGTAAATTGTGCAAGTGATTTGGCTATGCTAGTGACTGTAACTAACCAATGACTTTAACAACTGTGCTAGTGACTTGTAACTGTACAAGTGACAAGAATGTAACTGTGTAAGTGACTTATCTCTAAATAACATAACTGTACGTAACTTGTATCCTCAGAGTATAATAATATAGGGTTACATTTAATTAGTACAAATCTCTTGAGGGTGATCTACTCACAACAACTTTTGTTTGAAACTTTTCTTCGAATTATAAAAAAAATTTTTGGACCTTCCATACAAAAATGCTGAAAAAGTGTGTCACTTAGTATGGGAGGTCCATTTTTTTTCATATTTCGAAGAACCTTTACTTTTATTTCACACATAATAACATAAACACAAACAACCGCTTGAAAACCACTGCAAGAACACCCAACCATAGACTATCCAAAGTTTTTAAAATATAACCATAGAGCTTTATTTTTTTTCTCGGTTCCCGTCCCGAGTTTTTTTGGGAACCGGTTCCGGCAGCGGAGGCACACACAGCCCTTTTTTGACAACGATTATTTAGTTCATGCATGGCAATTAAATCAGTCAGTGAGTTTACGAGCAAGGAAAGATGTTTTGATAGTTAGGATATGCATTAAAAAAAATCATATACCACGCTGTTACTAGAAACTAGAAAGAACGTTAGTTTTGCTAAGGACCTTGCGAGCGTTTGCGCACATCTGTTGCTAGCGCCATCTACCGTTTATTTACTGGCCAACTGACAAGCATAAGGTGCCAGATCTCTTGGACTTTTTCATCTCCAAAGGCATTCAATCTCACAAGATGAGTGTCGAACTATGCACAGATTTGTCATCTGATCATACTCCTGTAATACTCAATATAAATAGTAAAATAACAAATGAAAAATACACTAGATTATATAACAAAAACACAGACTGGCAGAACTTCCAAGGAATAATCGAGGCAAACGCTAACCTTAACATAAAATTTAAATCTGTAGAAGACATTGAAATGGCAATAGAAGATCTTAACAAACTTATCCACTCAGCAGCTCATGGGTCAACCGTGGTGACTAAGAATGATCAAATAAAGCCCCTACTCTCTGTAAGGCAACGAGAAAAGTACAAGGCCCCAAAGAACACATCCCACCTATTAAAAACCACATTGGTAAGTGGGCCAGATCAGATATGGAAAAAGCCACAGCATTTGCAAAACATCTGCACACTGTGTTTAACCACTAAGCAGTACACGAAAGAACACGACACTGAAGTTTACAACTACCTCGAGTCCCCGATACAGATGTGCCAGCCGCTCAAAGCGTAAGCCCTCGGGAGTTAGTGAAACAAATAAAACAACTTCAAGAAGGTAAATCGCCAGGATACGACTTGATAGATGCAACTATATTAAAAAATGCCAAGAAAAGGAATTATGTTAATAATTGCCATATTCAATGCCTGTATTAGACTGGAACACTTCCCAAGCCAGTGGAAATTGCTCAGATAGTCATGATACACAAACCTGTAAAGCCTCCCACTGAAACATCTTCTTACAGACCCATTAGTCTACTACCAGTACTGGGCAAATTGTTCGAAAAATCCTTCTAACAGATTGAAACCTCACCTGCAAAATGTCATACAAAACATCAATTTGGTTTTAGAGAGAAACACGGAACTGTCGAGCAAATTCATCGCCTAGTAGACGATATCAACAGAGCCTTTGAAAATAAGCAATACTGCTCAGCAGTCTTTTTAGACATCGCACAGGCCTTCGATAAAGTATGGCATGATGGTCTACTCTACAACAGGGTTGTTGCGGATGCAGATTTTTTCACATCCGCGGATGCGGATGCGGATGCGGATTTCTGGGGGCACACATCCGCGGATGCGGATGCGGATGCAGATGTGTACAAAAAACTTAAGTTTTGGGAGAAAAATTTAAAGACAAGTCATTTCTGTCATTTTCAACAGGTTGAAAATAGGTCCATATTTACTCTGCGTAGGTGGAGGCATAATTCAGTTCACACAAAGCAACACTCACTTCACATGACGTAATTGTTACCTACGTAAACAATATTACAACGCAAAAATACAATAATTAAAGCAAAAAACTTAATAGTAAGAAAACAAACAAATTAAAACTTGTCACTACAACACAAAAAACAAAGAGAGGCGCGGGGCTTCCCCGAGATAACAGACACCGAAATTAAAATGATTGATTACTTATTGGTCAATTAGCACGAGCGCGCGACGCGCCAATGGCCGGACCCGCCTTTCTTTCTTGTCTGACCTGCTTCACATCACATTCGCATCAGATCCGCATCGATTTTTGCGGATGCGGATGCGGATGCGGATGTCTAAATTGATGCGGATGTTCCGCGTATGCGGATGCGGATGCGGATATTCGCAACATCCCTGCTCTACAAGGTAAAATACACGTTGCCTCATTCATTCTTTCCCATAATAAAATCGTACCTTGACAAACGCTGTTTTGAAGTGAGATACAATGAAGCAAACTCAGACCTACACGAGTGCAAATCAAGTGCCACAGGGAAGTATAAGGGCCAATCCTCTACCTCATTTACACTGCTGACCTGCCAACAAGCGAAAACACTACAATAGCAACCTATGCCGATGACACAGCTATACTATCGTCAAACGTAAACCCAGTCACAGCCTCTGAAAACCTACAGAACCACTTGCAAGAAATAGAGCAATGGCTTCATCTCTGGAGAATAAAGCTAATCAAAGCAAATCAACACATGTAACATTTACATTAAGACGTGAAACATGCCCGCCGGTAAGCTAAACCATGAAGACATACCCCAAAGTGATAATGCCAAGTACCTTGGTATGCACCTAGATCGACGACTAACATGGCGGAAACATATGGACAAAACGAAAACAGCTTGACACCAAATTAGAACTATGCTCTGGCTTATAGGAAGAAACTCAAAATTGACAAAACAGCAAATTATTAATATACAAAGCTATCCTTAAGCCAATATGGACCTACAGTATCCAACTGTAAGTACAGCGAGCAACAGCAACCTAGAAATCCTGGAAAGATTCCAAAACAAAATATTAAGAATAATATTTAACATACCACCATACATCAGCAACAAATACATCCAAATGGACCTAGGCGTAAAGACTGTTAAGCAAGAAATAGCACTGTACAGCACAAGATATCA